TGATTGGGAAAGATGTTTGTGGATATATCCTATTTCCCTCGTATAGCGGTTGCTAAATGCCTATAATGCAATCTTAAATGGGAAGCAATATACCTCTTCACGTGGGGTCTTTTTCATCGGTACAAATATTTTTATAAACATTGTACTCAACAAGTGATCGATGTACTGAAATGGAGGCGTTTTGGAAAAACCATTTTTTCTTTTTTCTTCTTGCTAGCTGTCTGTTCTTCTAGTTGCTTATTCTTTTCTATGATCTCTTGTCATCGAGCAACAATGGGGTGGAAGAAAAAGGACATAACCACACTTCTGTTCCGAGCAATTGAAACACGTCAACAATATTAACAAGAGCACCAGAGGTATATCGGAACCTTCTGCTCAAAACATTGGATGCTCTTGTATGTTTGATCTACATTGTGGTTTCTTGTTGGTAGACCCTTGATACGTCTCCAACGTATCTATAATTTTTTATTGCTCCATGCTACTTTATCTACTGTTTTGGACTATATTGGGCTTTATTTTTCACTTTTATATTACTTTTGGGACTAACCTATTAACCGGAGGCCCAGCCCAGAATTGCTGTTTTTTCCTTTTTTAGTATTTCGAAGAAACAGAATATCAAACGGAGTCCAAACGGGGAATGAAACCTTCGGGATCGTGATTTTCCAACCGAACATGACCCAGGAGACTTGGACCCTACTCCAAGAAGCGCCAGAGGCGGTCACGAGGGTGGAGGGCGCCCCCCCCCCGGCGCGCCCCCCTACCTCATGGGCCCCTCAGAGCTCCACCGACGTACTCCTTCCTCCTATATATACCTACGTATCCCCGAACGATCAGAACAGGAGCCAAAAACCTAATTCCACCGCCGCAACTTTCTGTATCCACGAGATCCCATCTTGGGGCCTGTTTCGGAGCTCCGCCGGAGGGGGCATCCACCACGGAGGGCTTCTACATCATCACCATAGCCCCTCCGATGAAGTGTGAGTAGTTTACTTCAGACCTCTGGGTCCATAGCTAGTAGCTAGATGGCTTCTTCTCTCTTTTTGGATCTCAATACAATGTTCTCCCCCTCTCTCGTGGAGATCTATTTGATGTAATCTTTTTTTGCTGTGTATTATCTATGGAAAATATTTGATTCTTCTCTGAATTCTTTTATGTATGATTGAGTTATCTTTGCAAGTCTCTTCGAATTATCTTTTTGGTTTGGCCAACTAGATTGGTAGTTCTTGCAATAGGAGAAGTGCTTAGCTTTGGGTTCAATCTTGCGGTGTCCTTACTCAGTGACAGAAAGAGTTGCAAGACACGTATTGTATTGTTGCCATCGAGGATAACAAGATGGTTTTTTTATCATATTGCATGAATTTATCCCTCTACATCATGTCATCTTGCTTACGGCGTTACTCTGTTTTTACTTAATACTCTAGGTGCATGCTAGATAGCGGTCGATGAGTGGAGTAATAGTAGTAGATGCAGAATTGTTTCGATCTACTTGTTTTGGACGTGATGCCTATATACATGATCATAGCCTAGATATACTCATAAATATGCTCAATTCTATCAATTGCTCAACAGTAATTTGTTCACCCACCATAGAATATTTATGCTCTCGAGAGAAGCCACTAGTGAAACCTATGGCCCCGGGGTCTATTCTCATCATATCAATCTATATCACTTTATTTACTTGCTTTGTTTTTTACTTTGTCTTTACTATTTACTTTGCATCTATCTATCAAAAATACCAAAAATATTATCTCTATCAGATCTCACTCTCATAAGTGACCGTGAAGGGATTGACAACCCCTAAGCGTTGGTTGCGAGTTGCTATCGTTTTGTGTAGGTACGAGGGACTTGTGCGTGGTCTCCTACTGCATTGATACCTTGGTTCTCAAAAACTGAGGGAAATACTTACGCTACTTTACTGCATCATCCTCTGCTCTTCAGGGAAATCAAACGCAGTGCTCAAGAGGTAGCAAGAAGAATTTCTGGCGCCGTTGCCGGGGAGGAATCCCATCACCGTAGGCCATCTTCATCATCCCGGCGCTATCCATGATGAGGAGGGAGTATTTCACCCTCGGGGCTGAGGGTATGTACCAGTAGCTATGTGTTTGATCTCTCTCTCTCGTGTTCTCTCTCGTGTTCCCTCTATGGCACGATCTTGATGTATCCTGAGCTTTGCTATTGTAGTTGGATCTTATGATGTTTCTCCCCCTCTACTCTCTTGTGATGAATTGAGTTTCCCCTTTTGAAGTTATTTTATCGGATTGAGTCTTTTATGAACACTTGATGTATGTATTGCGTGGGATAACCGTGGTGACAATGGGTTATTCTATTGATCCACTTGATGTATGTTTTGGTGATCAACTTGAGGGTTTTGTGACACTTGGGAACCTATGCATAGGGGTTGGCACACATTCTTGACTCTCCGGTAGTAGCTTTGGGGCACTCTTTGAAGTACTTTTATGTTGGTTGGATGAACCTGAGATTGTGTGATGCATATCGTATAATCATGCCCACGGATACTTGAGGTGACAATGGAGTATCTAGGTGATATTAGGGTTTTGGTTGATTTGTGTCTTAAGGTGTTATTCTAGTACGAACTCTTTTATAGATCGATCCGAAAGAATAGCTTTGTGGTGGTTTCGTACCCGACCATAATCTCTATGTTTGTTCTCCGCTATTAGTGGCTTTGGCGTGACTCTTTGTTGCATGTTGAGGGCTTGTCATATGTTCTATCTATGTTATTATTGTTGAGACAACTTGCACTAGTGAAAGTATGAACCCTAGGCCTTGTTTCCTACCATTGCAATACCGTTTACGCTCACTTTTACCACTTGTTACCTTGCTGTTTTTATTATTTCAGATTACAAAAACCTATATCTACTATCTATTTTGCACTTGTATCTTCATCCCTTCGCCGAACTAGTGCACCTATACAATTTACCATTGTATTGGGTGTGTTGGGGACACAAGAGACTTTTTGTTATTTGGTTGCAGGGTTGTTTGAGAGAGACCGTCTTCATCCTATGCCTCCTACGGATTGATAAACCTTAGGTCATCCACTTGAGGGAAATTTGCTACTGTCCTACAAACCTGTGCACTTGCAGGCCCAACAACGTCTACAAGAAGAAGGTTGTGTAGTAGACATCAACCCGTTGAAACTGTTTACTATGTTGCTAGCGGTGTCTTCTTGTACTCGCCGGTTCTCTTCCAATAACTCTAATCTTGCACTTAATCAATCCATGTAGTATCAGACGATACAGATCACAAATCATACAATGCTAATAAAAATGGAAGTGCTAAGTTTATGCATGGAAAAAGTGTTGTGCTAAGTTCCGGACTCGAAAACTTACACTTATGAGAATGTACTTCTGAGTTAATGCACCTAAAACTTAAAGGATACATCAGTCCCACATTAAGTTAACGTGATTCAAACATATGGTTATGTGATTCTACTAGTGTGTTAACTTATGTGTATTAGTGGATAGAGCATTTTCTCCTTTATTGAATTTATACCATAAGTATGTAATGTTTCAAAGACCGTGATGACCCACATTAATAAGTTATAAATGTATTTAGTTAATTCAGATAGAGTGAAACATACGCTATAACGTGATTATGTTAGTCAATTTTAATGGATGACTTAATGTATATGGGATTTTATTTTCTTTACTAATGTTAGTGCACTCTATAATCATAAGTTTTATGCTGTAAATCATGAAGCTAAATACCCCTATGTTTGTTTTTTTCTCAATTTCATCTATTACATGTCGAATTAAGTAATTTTTAATGTTACATAATCTGATAAATTTTCTTGTGAAGGTTTACATTACCAATGAGAAGGGCAGGTGGGCGGTGGTCATGGCCACGACCTGGCTGAAAGGGGGGTGTGGGTGGCGGCGATGTACACCGCCACATGGGAGTTGAGAGTTGTTGAAGGATGCTGACTGTTGTAAGGATTAGGGATGCGGTAGAAAAATGGTAGAACTGGTGGAGGAGATGAAGAAGGAGGATCTCTCACATGACTTCCAAGTTGGATGGCTTGTAACCTGGGAATAATCGCATGTGAATTGAGAAATGCAGCAGACGTTGTCAGATCGAAGGCCAACGATGTCGAGCGTGCTCGGATGCCGATTCAGAGTAGACCGGAATTGGTCCTTAAATAGGCACAATATGATATGAAACCTCTGAATCGAGTTCAGAGTGCCCGATGGGGATGTATGTTGGGATTAATGCCGCCAAGAAAGCACACCCCC